ATTGGCGCCACGTAGCGAAAAGAAGAAACGACTGGCGCGCTGTTGTTAACTCGGCTATAATCGCGTAAGCGGTGACTACGCCAATCAAGAAGAAGAAGAAACAACAATACAGTACCCCGCCAACCCATTAGAAACAGGGTAAATATATGTAAAAATTTACGAATAACATTCTTGAATGTTTGCTAGGTTAAAAATTTGAATTTTTTCCACCGCCTAAGCATTAAGCAGACTGTGCACTACATGTTACCACGTGTCAAATATTAAAAAAATGTACCGTGGCAATTAGCGGGACTTAAATACGAAATTATATTGAAATATTTACTTCCATTGGAGTTAGCATTGGTGATTTATGACTCATCAGAGATAAATTGAGTGGCGTAGTGGAAGGAACCGAATTTTTTTTATAAGTGTTTGACTTTTATTTTAGAGATTTCAGAGCTTTATTTATTACTTAAGTATTTTTTTTAAGTTTGCTTAAGCATTATAATATAAGCAATAAAAAATGCACCTTTTAGGAAATAGGTAAAAAATCGGACATTTAAAAGAAAATCAAAAGTGCTAGTGCTGTACTTTTAAAAGATAAAAGTACATCCTACAGAAAAATAATAAAAAAAATTGGAATGAGTGCAGCTACTGTTACTCGAGTTGTGCACACATTCAAATATTGCACCGTTGGACGCACAAGTATGCGGCAAAATGCTACCGAAAATGGGAAAATTCCTGAGCGCATTCGACGTAAAGTAATGAGGTTCACTCTGTAATTGTGCAGCAAACCGGCCGGAGAAATTTAAAAGAAGCTAAATGATGTTTATGAAAAAATATTGTAAAGAACTGTTGAACGCATCTTTTCAGAAAAAACCTAAAAACCGCCGTATAGCAAAAAAATCAAAATTGACCAAGGAACGAAAAATCAAAGAGTTATAAGTGTCAAACTTCATCAGAACTACACAAAGGTGGATTAAAACAAGGTAAACATAATAAATTATGAAAGTCTCCCGAAAGTCCTCCATTCAAAGTTATGCTGCTATTTAACATAACTTTCTCCTTGACAAAGATTAACTTTAGCGTCGAAGGCCGGTTAGAAGCAGTGACAGAAATCATTCAATTTGTGCGTCGTAAACCGTGTGAACGTTATGTGGAGAACTGCATTCAAAAGACGGTAAATATCTCCCCAATGTTATGATTTTGAGCTGCATAATTTTTGAAGGTCCTGGACCAATTTGTAGAGAGAACGATGACTAGTGAGCAGTACACCAATGTACGTCAAGATGGTTTTGTACCATATTTGGTAACAATGAACACTTCAGCAGCCCTGAGGTGCCTTGCCACACCTCCCGACGAACGACTGATATCCTTTACAACTTGGATATCAATATATTACCTTAGGCGGGCAATTCAACCGCCCTAAGCCCCACCGAAAACTGTTAAACGAGCTTAAATCGAAGGTATATTGCCGAAAAAATCCCACAATAGCCCCACTGAAAGATAACATAAAGGACGTGTGTCTAAATGATCCAGACTCAAAAGTAATTATGACATTTGTTTGAATAGTATGCCTCAAATAGTGAAGGCTGTTAATAAAAACAAACCAACCAAATACTAAAAAAATTTAATTTTTTCTCAATTTTATGATAAGATTATATTGCAAATAAATATTATACAAAAAATTGCATTCACATATCGTAATAACTTTTGGTTTATTTGACTCTGAACGCAAAACTATATGAATAATTGCTTCTGTTTCTAATGGTTTTTCGGGGTACTGTAGTTTTAAAAGTTTAACAAAACAAATATCCTCAATATTTTTGCTGTACCTGTTCAGATACAGAGGCGCCAAATGGGTTAATCATGTCTCGTTATTCCTTTCATATATTTTTCATTGTAAATATTTTTCGAAATTTCGTCTTTCAACTGTTTGATAAGAAATATTATATCATACATCTCATATTGGTTTATTCGGTCATAGGAGAGTTAGGAAGTGGGATTTAGCACCACTAGAAGTTAATCGATTTTTTCCCTTCTGGTCTTTAGAAACAAAAACAATTTTATTATCTCTAAATACTATAAGAAAGAATATCTTTATCAAGAAATTTATATTGAAAACGGTCTCGTTTAAGTTCCTCTTTTTCGATCACCTTCTATGCAATTTGATCCTTGTTCGATTTCAGTTTCAAAGCTAACCAGCTGAGGCTACTAAGGTTACTTAGTTACCTTCGCATTGAGTGGTTGCTCAATAAATCATATAATCAATTAGAAGCTCTATTCCTTTCGTTTCAAGATACGAGTACTCTGACTTTATTTTTGAGAGATGAAATTTTTTGTTATTGACAATGGCGTGGTTTGGATAGTGTCTGCTGTGTTTTCGTCAGTGAAAATTTTAGCGCCAGCCGTTCACCCACACTCGTTTACATTCTTATATAATCACGAAACGTCCATAATAAATAATGTAGAAATAGTAACTTTTCCGTTGCAAAAATACCACAGAAAAATAAAAGAATTACTCCCAATGTAATCATCAGGCTATGTATTTTTCAAGGAATAATCTTCTTAAAAATTCCAAAAATTTTAAACTCTGATATGCGATCTGACTCAAGATCTACTTATACACAGCATGTATTTAAGTACTGCGTGGGAGTAACGCGGGTATTATATTTCCCAAACGAATGCTGTTCCTAATAATTGTTTTGCTTCACATAAAAATGAATATACATATGTATGTATAATGCCTATACAACTTTTTAACTGCGTCCAAAAAAATATATCCATGATTCATTAGCACTGCTGACTGTGGTATGTGTATGTATGTACACTGAACCAATTCCGTGGCAATAGTAACAGTAGTAAAGAAATAAGTTATTTCGATAAGAGTACGTAAGTGAGTAAACAGTTTACGCATCGTGAAATTCCATAAAGTAAAAATGCGAAATGGATTAGTATATTATAATAAATAAAATTGAAATTTGCGTAACTTCAGTGTTCATAGACAAACTATTGTTCAATTATATATTCCAGATTCTTATGCGAATTTCGATAGCTTATTATCTCAAATCTTCTCTCTATTAAAAATATATACTTACATAAATTATTTTTTAATTCTTATAATTCAAGATACCATTTTGTACGTGTCGTTAAATTTACCAGAAATGGTTTAGCGATACCCTACACAAGGTTCTGTTGTAAAATTTCTGTGTATGGAATACTCAGAAGTTAAGAACTTTCATTGGATATGGATTTTTAATTTATTTGCATGCTCGTGCATTGTGTGAGCGTTTAAAATGCAATTTCTTTCGATGTGGTAAAAGTATGAAAGCAGTGTACTAGCACAAATTTATGACAAACATTGGGCTTACAAAAGGTAAAACAATGAAACAACAATGATTTTATGTTTTTCGAAAACAAATGTCGGTGGGGAAATTTGTCATATTTTTATGGCTCCATTAAGAGAGAGAATCAAGCACAACCACTTGACGTGGTTTGACCCATAAGCAAAAGGAAACATCTTTAAAATTCAAAAACCCTAGAATATATTAATAAGTCATAAAGCTTGCATTAGCTTACAAGTATTACTTATGTATATTTAATTCGCTGGTTTGACCGTTATCCGACTTTATACATTTCCAAAAATGTTCCAAAAGTGTGAATCATGATTTAAAATTATTATTGTAATTGTATTTCTGCTACTCATGGAGAAACTCGACACGACGTATTTCGCTGGCTCTCAAGTTATATATGACTTATATTTTTCAATAGTACGAAGTTGATTACTCTCTGAAATTAACATCGGAGACCAAATAAAATGTATATGTAAATGTAGCAATGTAGCTGTGTCAATTTAGCTACTTATGTATCTGCAATCTAAAGTCAAAAATTTTTATACACAATATGTAACGTTTCTACATTATGTTACGCACAATATAATTAATGCCGATCAGTCAAGTCGAGATCACTGTCAAAAGTGGTCGTAAACTGTGCTTGTGAATATTTTGATTCCTTTGTTAATGGCGGTCAAGAATTGTTTTGCTTTGTTGTTGAGCTTGTGCTGTGCTCTATGTTTCTTCAATACAATTGTCGGTGGTAAGTGATAAAATAAATTTATTCATATAGTATAATTATTTGTTGAAAAAAGGAAGTGGAAACTTGCAAGTAAATTAAATAAGTAGTGAGAGATTTTAATTTGCATATAAGAAGACATATATGATTCATTAACAGCCTTGATGCAACTAATTTGTCCAAAGATGCGTTACTGAAAAACTGTCACTGCTAATAAAATTTGAAGCTAGTTCATTTCTTGGGAAAATAGGATAGCACTGAATTGAATATATTGAAGTAAATTAAATATCCGTTAAAGCCAACTACGTACACTCCAATTACAATAAAGAGTGAAATTACCGCGTCTGTGCCATTCCACAGAAGCAAGACTAAAATACCAATACAACTAAGACACTTAAATATTGAAATGCCCCAGAAGTATCTTGGCTCAAAATTTCAAACCAAAAAAAAAAAAAAAACAAAAAAAACTGTACGCAAACGTAAGATATTTAGAAGAATTGAAATGGATGTAAAGTATTTCTAGAGCTCTTGTCGGAAAATCTGAATTTCCATTTAAGAAAATGTAATGTCTTTGACTTAATAAATGCAACGAATATTATTATATTAATTTTATATTGCAGCTATGGGTGTAAAATGTACGACCCCAAGACGCGAATCCGGAAAATGTATACCAATACTTGAATGCAGGTCCTTAAGTATACTCTCTGTAAAGGTAAACAGAACATGCACGGAAACCACACTTTTAAAAGATAGTTATTGTGGAGCTTATAACTTCAGTTATAAAGTAAGTATTCCAAACATTTTGAGAGAAAACTCTCTTTTAAAAATATATTTCGGATTACAGGTTTGTTGCCCTAAAAATGAAATTAAAAGTATAGGAAAAAAAATAACGGATAAGGTAAAGTATTTTCGTTAAATATTTAGTGCAACCACGCCTACATTATGAGTAAATAATTTATCTGTTCATATTTTGTTGTTCTCTTATGGCCAAAAACTTATGTAACTTTATGTTAGATGTGTTCGGTTAGGTGATAATGCAAAGAAGTGGTTAGTATCAAACGGGAACTCATTACATGCATAGCGTATCTTGTTAGAGTGGACTTAGAATGTCAATTGTTATTTTCTAAAGCCAAAACGAACACTTATTCTACAATTGGTGAGAGATTGACCACCAGAACGAATTTCATGTCTGTCAGTAAACTTTCTCTGCACCACTATTAATGTTGTACGCACCGAACAAAGAATTCTGAGTACGTTAAACTCACTGTGGTCTAAATTTGAGAGAATTTTATAAGAGTTTTTTGGTTCCAAAGTTTTGGAAACAATGTCTAGTTATTTTAATAAAATATTGAAGGGTGTTAAAAGCAAATAATCTGATAGTCGTTTCATTGATTATTACTATGGTATAGTGTCAGCAGTCTATTCAATTCACATATTTTTTCATTTCCTTCTCATGTTTTAGGGTATTCTACCGACAAGAGAGGTATGTGGTCCATTAACTGTATTAAATCGCATCTACAATGGTGATATAACTGATATTGGTGAATATCCCTGGATTGCATTGATTTTACTCAGAAATGAAAGATGTATGTCAAATTTGGTATTTCATAAAAAAGCCACAAAACTGTTAAAAAATTACAATAAACTCCATTTCCAGCCCAAAACGATTTCTTTTTTAAATGTTCTGGTTCTCTTATTAACAAATACTTTGTTGTCACCGCCGCACATTGTATGACTTCAACCAACTCATTATCGGATGTTTTAGTTCGCTTGGGGGAATGGAATTTGAATGATGATCACGGTTGTAATGAAAATCGTTGTGAGCTACCTTTTCAAGAAAAGGAAATAGATGCAATTATAATACATCCAGATTATAAGGAAGAAAGCATGGATAATGACGTAGCATTGTTACTTATAAGAAATGGTGTCGAATTCAATGATGATGTAAAACCCATTTGTCTGCCAATCGATGATAGTCAACGTGATAACTCATACGAGAAACAGCAAGCTTCTATCAGCGGTTGGGGAGGTACTGAAAATAAAGAGTATAGTCCTATTAAGTTAAAAACCACGGTTCATATCTTACCAGTCGTTCAAAAGAAAAGAAAAGGAAAAAAAGACCGTTACTATTGCAATAATGTTTCAATAAGTAACAGCAAAATGTGTGCTACAGGTGAAGATCACGATTCGTGTAATGGCGATTCTGGTGCACCGCTAATGATCACAGAAAATGTAAATGAAAGCACAAATTGGTATCTAATCGGCATAACTTCATACAGCGGCTTGGAACAAGGATGTGGAAGTGAAGGTTCCATTGGAATTTACGCACGTGTTGGTTCATTTATTGATTGGATAGTGCACGTAATAAAAAATTCAAACTCTTACTCAAATCAAATTTTTTAGATTTCTACCACTAGTAGGAGAAAAATAAAGATCGTTTCTAAGCTAAGAAATATTTCATTCTAATTTTATATCCAAACCTAAGTAAATATGTTTATTATTACATATATTATTTGTCGAGTGCATGCTTATTGCACATATGTAAATGCATACGAGTCTCATATATGCGTGTTCCATATGAACAACTTTGTTCGAAATAATAGCAGTGGTTTGTGAATAATAGCAGCGGCTTGAAGAGCACCTGCATTTGTCAGTCGAAAAATGGGGCAACTTATTGTGGTCCAATGAAACAAAAATTGTTTTATTTGGTTCCCGAGGAGGTCTACAGTATGTACGAAGGCCAGTAAACGCTTCATTTTATTCTAAATATTTTTCACGGACGGTAAAACATGGAGGTGCCAAAATCAATATATGACTTGTCTTACTATGGCACAGGTCCATTATATTGGATTAAAGAAAACATGGATTCCAAATTGTACGTTGAAATAATGGAGTTCACTATGCTACCTCCGCTGAATGGAAAATGCCGTTCAAATGGGTCTATCAAGAAGATAACGACCCCAAACAAACCAGCAGGTTGGCAAAAAATTGGTTTGCTCAAATTGGAGTTGAGGTTATTGGGTAGCCAGCCCAGTCACCGGACCTTAATCCAATTGAGAGTCTTTGGGCAGAGGTCAAAGAAGCTGCAGGGAAAGATAATTCTTCAGAGTGCTGCAAGCGTTTGGTAGACTCCATGCCTAGGAGATGCGCAGCTATGTTTTCCAACGACGGTCATTCGACAAAATACTAACTGTTTAAACTTTATTTTATATTACTATAATGAAATAATTGATTGCTGATGTAAAATCCTCAATACTGCTATTACAGCTATCACAGCTGAAATTTTCATTTACAAACTTTTATATTTATTTTAAGATGAACTTTATCTTATGATTTAAAGAAATTATATTTCCTTTAAGCTCCATGAGCGAATTAAATACAATAATAATAACCCATACAAAAAATCACTTACACGATTTTTTTACTTCGTTTGAATTCTTGGTTTTGCCACTGCTATTATTTCGAACACTGTTGTAAGTTATGTGTTTATTTATGTACGTTTTGTACTGTCTCGGCCTTACGGTTCATTTCGACAAGCAAAAATTTGTAGTAACTGTATGGCTGTGCGTATTGCCATATTGCTTATGGAGTACTAATTAGTATGCCATATATTGAAAGCAATTAATTGACAGCTCAGTTTTCATTTCTTTGAAAATTTCGAAGAGGCAACACATCCCATTTACACATACATATATCGACGCCAGTTTAATTTCAGTAATATTAAATTTAGTAGAGCGAGTATTCAGACGGTTGTATTA